CATAAATCATCATCAAAAATTGCTATGGAGGGGGTTTTGATAGTTTAAAATTAAATATGTTTAACTAAAGTATTAACTAACTCACTTCAGAAAGACAAATACATAGCATACAACACAACACATGCCTCAGACTGAGCTCAGACTGTCGGTGCACTGGACGGAGGGGTTTTACTCTCGTGATAAGTTTTCATGGCGTTCTTGGCATTTGTTCATCTTTGCTCTGATATTTATAAATCCCCAAGACGACTTGCAGGCTACATGGGTACATGGGCTACAAGGCTACATAACCTTCAGTAGCTTCGGTTTATGGGTCAGTAAATCAAACAAACATTGCAGCCTATATAGACTCCCCGTAGTTAACGTAGATACGGCACTGTCTCTCTATACTCCTTCATTCGGTGGCCCCTTACTCTCCCCGCTTACTAAAATATATGGCACATACAGTATACATAACAAATACCGTCCTCAAACGCGATCAATAGTTTTCAATTCTCTTCTTTATACATATTGATCAGTATTTAAACACATATATTTAGAGTGTAATCTTGTTGTTTTTTTTCTACTAAGATAATTTGACTTAACACCCCTAGAGATTGTCCTGGGGCTGCCACATTGTGTACATTACTTATATATATCGCAGATCCCACCTCTAGAGATTGTCCTGGGGCTGCCACATTGTGTATATTACTTATATATATCGCAGATCCCACCCCTAGAGTTTGTCCTGGGGCTGACACATTGTGTACATTACTTATATCTATCGCAGATCCCACCCCTAGAGATTGTCCTGGGGCTGCCACATTGTGTACATGACTTACATATATCGCAGATCCCACCCCTAGAGATTGTCCTGGGGCTGCCACATTGTGTACATTACTTATATATATTGCAGATCCCACCCCTAGAAATTGTCCTGGGGCTGCCACATTGTGTACATTACTTATATATATCGCAGATCCCACCCATAGAGATTGTCCTGGGGCTGCCACATTGTGTACATTACCTATATATATTGCAGATCCCACCCCTAGAAATTGTCCAGGGGCTGCCATATTGTGTACATTACTTATATATATCGCAGATCCCACCCCTAGAGATTGTCCTGGGGCTGCCACATTGTGTACATTACTTATATAAGATATATATATATCGCAGTTCCCACCCCTAGAGATTGTCTTGGACAATTTGATATACTAAAAATATAAATGAATTAACACTGCGCTGAATTTCTTGAGCAATCATTGAAAGAGCCGATTTGCAGCATGGGAAGGTCGTACGGTAGAACACCACCAAGGAGAAGAAATAGAAATAACGTTTAGTTGTTTATACATTTCTACTGTAATCGTTATTATGGACAACCTTATGCTGCTATGAGTGGGAAAAATTTGTAGAAAACACTCAAAAACAAGATCAGCTTTTGCAAAATTATAAGATATTTACAAGAAATGTTGACATCTTGAGTATTTCCATAATCATTGAGTCGACTCTTTTAAAGTCATCACAGAAGACTGACATTCGTTTTAAAATTACTCCGGTAAAACTTCGCAATTGCTCAAACTCAAACAACAGGTACACTAGTAGTCACTATTCCGTAAACGGATCCACTCCAGTCTTTCTAGTATCTATAAGCTCGATTTTCCACCAACACCTAAGGACGTTGCAGTTATGAATATCACTCACCTGTCAAGTGCCACTGATTCAACAGCTGGTCACCGCCGCTGGATGTAGCAGCCCATTAGTATTCCAAGAGCCGCGCCTTTTCCCTCCAAAAGCACATCACTCACCCGCGGTCGTGCATCAGTTATATATAACCGGGCAATTGTTTCGAGCGCCGTGTCGCTGTCTTGTATCCATATTTCAGTAAATAATTTACCAAATGTAACATTCTGTGTTTTTTTAGCGCTATAACTCTCCAAGCTGGCTGCGGCTAGCCCCTGTCATCACCTAACGGCACAGATAAATCGTTTTGGGACTTGCCGTTTATTCCGCTTCGTCACACGTATATATTTGGTGAGGTTTCATCCACTTGTAATTTTTCATATGTCTCAATATTATTTAGTATTAAATTCATCAATGTGTATTAACAATACTTGGCTTAAAATACCTACTTTGTATGGTCGCCATTTAATTAGAAAGTATTTAAGTATTAATTACCTTTTGTTTACCCTGTGTAGTTTCGTTGAAGAGGTCGTGATAATTTTATTGATTGACGTAGACGGTCCTAGTCTCAAATACAATGCAGTTGTTAAGATAATTACTAACTTTTAATCCAATAATGTACACGAATTATTGAGAGTTTCTTTAGTCTGCGAGGACACAAGACACATAGGTATATTGAATGACATGTAACTTTTATAATAAAATTCGTAATATACGCTGTTTTAATGACGATCCTATCTTTTGGGTGTTTCGTCAACTTTTGTTAGTATTATGTGTTAGGTTCGTCCTGATAAACACGCCACTGGTTCTAGTGACGCGAACACTACCCTACACCCAAACTATCAACATTTGCAAGTTCGAGTGATACACGCTGCATTAACGATCAAACTTTGTGTATATGACAAATGAGCAGTCTCTCGGTCACATCATAGTTCATTGAGTTGTTATTGATCCTTCTCCTACACGTAATTATAGTATCTTCAATTTTATCCCGAAACATTTCTTGTGACTTGATTACGTTTCCTTTAGAGAGAACACTAAAAACAAACATAAGGCCAAAGCTTTGATTGGTCGCCTGATATTAGTTTTAGAGGTATTATCTGGATACAGTTACGACACTATGTGTGACGTCATTGACGTTACCTCACACGTGTCACCAGCAAACAGTCAGTCCGCGCCCTCTGTTACCACCACTCGTCTTGTGTTGCGCAATTGTTATTGTATTAGTGTATTTCGCCCTCATTCCATCTGGACGGTTTTGTCATTGTCATTCAATCGGAGAGGGTCTATAGTTAAAGGCGGCCGTGGTCTATCGGTCTATCGTTAAACTTAGAAGCATTTAATCATTTCGATATAGACTTATATAGATAATTAGATAATTATGAATGGCTTGGATTTCTTTCAAATTTACTTTATGAGTATGTTCTGATATCTATATCTGTGACATTATTTGACTGTCTAAAATCATTTGTAACGTCATAATAGTTATTTGCCTTATGAACTATAATATTTTACTAGGCAAATCTGCATTAATTTCTATGCTTCTATAACTAATTTTTTGGAACAGTTTAAAAAAAAAAATTGTCAATCCATAGTGAACACTTGGCTGTAACGTTTGATTTGTTGATACAGTAGTACATTAGGATTGTTCTAGGACTGTGGTCCTCTAGTGTCTTCCAAATGTACAGTACGTGTATAAAATCATAATATTTTGGCTAAAGTAACAGTGTACATTCCACGTATCCATCAACCGCAAGTTTTAATGACCGTGTTTTAATGTGCACTATACTGTATAAACTTGAATGGTTTTTAAAATACCAGTAATTAGTGTGTCATATTGTAAAGAGTTGATACTTAAATTTTAAAAAGCTCGTAATGCACTAAGTTGATTTTAAATTTTTGGATTGATAACATGGACGATTGTTCGATGTTATGATCTCCCTTTAGTTTGAAACTTTTGAGACCATATTGTATTTAAAAGCATCTTGTTATGCTTCAATGATCAAGACATTTATCCATCGATGTATTATGCAAACTGTATTTACAGTAAAGTTACTTTGTTGATCCTTGTGGCTAATCTGGAACCTAATCGAACCCAAAATTTAAATTTTGAAACGAGTTTTTGGTACTTTTAATCGACATCACTTTTAAATTACCAGTGAGTCCACAAAAGTTTGGCGATGCGTTTCGTTATTAAAAGATAAGATCAGTGTTGCGACAGCCGCTGTTATAGCCATCATCAGCTGTGAGTATTATCACCTGTGTAATTTACGGCCAATTAATGGAACAGCCAAAATAAACAAAGCCAGTGCATGTTAAACCACCCGAGTACGTTTTCCTATCAGGCAAAGTTAGTTTGAAAACAATGTAAACCTTATTAGTTAATTAGTTAATTGAATATTTCTTTACCATAATATGTATTGTGTTTAAATCCTATACTGACTCAGTAATAAACAACCATCGCAAGTGTAGGCCTAATATTTCGATCATTTGATGGATCTCGTAGACTATGTCGCTTCTCCAGCTGCTTCTGGCCTCGCTTGTAATTCGCCATTCAACATAAACGTGTCCCATAACATGTGTAACTTACCACACCACGATAACCCACCATCTGTTGATAACATTGAACACGTGAACCGTTCATAGGCCTACGCTTGCCTAATTGTGTTCAAATCTAGATTGGTATGTTCTGAGTTTAGAGTGGTTTTAGATTATAAGACCCAGACGTAATTATATTATACATCATTATTACAATGTTAAAACTCGGGGATTTTAAACTATAAGCAGGTTTTAACACAGTTGTCTACAGTTTACAAAGCTTGATTTTAGAGAGTGACAAAAAGTCCGCCGATAGGAATTCGTCTCGTTGTTGTTGATTTGTGACTTGAACTTTTTTAATGAAACCACAGTGGTTAAATTGACAAGCATTGAACTAATCGCGATAATAGTACTTCTACGTTGATGTTTTACATTAACGTAGGAAATGTCAATAAAATATATCCTCGCGTTTAGTACGTGATTGAGCCCTAAACGAACAAACCTACAAACACAAACATTCACATTTATAATACAGTATTAGTATGATTAACATCGATACTGTTCTTCCGCCAAGTGTGTCATTGCAATTATAATTTTTCCAACAATGAACATACCTTATTTCTAACGACCAACCACAACAAACACCTAACTACCTGTGTTTGTGGGGCGCATCTTACAAGAGACAGAACGATCTGTGCAACTTCACACATTGAATAGGACAAAAATACATGGTTTGATTTAGGGTTCAATAAATTTATTTATTTTAAAATTTCATGGTAAATTTGAAAAATCAACGGTGCGAGCATGGCTTAATTAAGACGTTGGATTCCCAGAGGCGTTGGCGGAGTACTGGAGGCCCGCCACGGGTCCGCACAAGTTGTACTTCTGTGTCCACTCCCCCAGATGGAACCTCGACCTCTGGCTGTCCTCAACATGCTGAGCCACCCGGGTCCCTGGCCGCATCAGGTACACGACCAGTAAGTAGTGGTGGGTACCCGAGCCTACTGGAGGCGCGGGGCCGGCATACGCTACAAGGGGTGTCACGTCACGGTTAGGAATACAGAATAACAATATAGTACAGTATAGGCAGGTTAATTTCTTTCCTCAAAATACAAATTAAGGTTACATAATGAGAGTCCTATACGTCTTCAAAATTGCTAATCTACTTGCCATGTTAGGCAAACGTGAGTGTCCACTGGGCAGAGGTGCCCATCCCCCCTAAACCCAGAGGCGCAATCCCCCCCCCCCCAAGCCAAAGGAGTAGTCCCCCCAATTTATGTTGTCGTCTATTTAAACCCACCCTCCCCCCACCAATTTATCTGACAATTTTCCCTTTACCTCATAAAACGAGTATTTAAAGTATTTAGTAAACTTGAGGTACATAAAACAAACTTGCTGATTGAGAATCAAAATTAAATGTTTATTAGGAAACGACATTTAACAATACATATCTAACTAATGGTTGAATTAGAAGTTTTTAAATTTACAAAATTCCGAATTTGTATTGTCAGCCAAAATGTGCTCAGTAGGCCTACTGCTATAGACAACGTCTTCAACACGTTCAACAATATACTCGGTGTATTACTCTACTCCAACACAGTACTGTAACTGTACAATATATTAGGTGGCGTTAATGTTTAGAGGGTACATGTATTAGCATTCAAACAGCTTTAAGTGTATTAATAATACTTTGGCAAAAGTATCTTAATTGTTTCAAAATTATAGGCAGAGTCACGAAATAAGCCAGACTTGTTGCTCGCCACTTCCAGGCTGCCTTCTACAAAAATCGCCGGGCAAAATACCATGCCACCAGAACAAAAGGTTTTTGTGACGAAGTAATCTTATAATTCATTTTTATAGCCCCAGGATTGCCTTTTATGACTAAAATGGTAGGAACGTATCTTGTCAGACAATCCGTTTGTACACAAAACACGAAACGATAACATTCATATTCATTCATATTCATAACAAATAGGCCTATCAATCCACGCGTGTATATTGCCGCGGGCAGGACTGGAAGTAAACTGAATCAGGTTATGACGGAAAGACGTGGTCTCTGGATTGTCGTCTGCGTTATCAAAAGCTGATATTGGACTAATTGTAGTGACGGAGGAAAGTATGTTGAAAATATAATTGTATTCATAATTGAGTTTTCCATTTAAAACTATTGACAATAATAACAAACTTATATGCTGAATATAAATGATGGTCTCGAAATTCTACAGTACTGCACGAAAGGAAATTTATTAAATACTTTGAGGAGTTTGAATATCTTATGAATACATAAAATTGGGGACAGCACAACATTTTTGAGTTAAAACACTCAATTAATTATGAAACCCGCCATTATATTTCCAATACTCTTCTCAGTCACTACAATAGTCCAATATCAGCTGTTGAAAACGCAGACGACAATCCAGAGACCACGTCGGTCCGTCATAACCTGAACACGATTCAGTTTACTTCCAGTCTTGCCGACGGCAATGTACACGCGTGAATTGATAGGCCTATCTGTAATCGTTTCGTGTTTTGTGTTAAATGTTTGTAACGTATTCTGACGACACCTCCAGGGGATCTTTTGTAAATCTTGACTATGTAGCATATAAAATTCGACACTGGCATGTTAAGGATTGTCTGACAAGGTGCTTTACCATTCTTAGAAGCAATCTTAATTACGAACGGCAAAATGTTGTTGGTGTTGAAAGTGAGCTACTTTTAGTGAGAAACACTTTTTCGGACTGCTTGTACAAAATTATACAGCCATTATGACAGCTAGCAAAAATTAAATATCCCCCCCAAAATCCCTAAAAAAAAGTCCCCCCCCCAAAAATTCCTGTGGCGCAAACGCGCCACAGTACCCCCCCTCTGGGCACCCCTGCCACTGGGGCATTACAATCTCAACATTGGGTTCAATCTACGAGCTCAGACAAGTGAGGCGCTACGAGGTCTGATATTCTACACGGAGCAGAGCTTTAGATCCCTGAGGCTACACTATGACAACACGTCCATAAGTAAATACTATCACAGTTAGCTGGTAACACGGGAAACCAAAGAAAATCTCATAAAATCAAATAGAGGACCTTAACAATTTAATTTGATTTAAAATCAGTGATAAAGCTATGTTGGGAAAATTCTACATCATACAATCAGTGTTCTAGAACATGCAGCCCTACTTGTTTTGATAAAAAATTCTTTTATCACTTTTCTATACTTACGTGTTATAGTTTTAGCATTAGTAAGATTTCCTTTTTTAAAGTCTTCTCCCTGAAACAATCATTAGGTAATCAATGAATATTATATTACAGCATGTACAAACTCGATATTTGTATTTTTTAATTCAAGATTCACTGAGAGAATACTTTTTAGCTCCTATAAAATATTCTCTGTGGTTTTTGCAAGTAGGTGCATGAAATTCAAAACGGTTGTGTTCAAAAGTTTCCCAATTTCCCCCTAAGTAAACTTTGTGAATATCGTCGTGATTACCATGAAATCCAATCAATGTTTAATTTGAAAAACCTCTCCTCAGAGGATACTGTTTCTTTAGTTTTATGCTTACGATACCCTATTGTTTAAGAAGATGTTCTCAAACGTTAAACTATTTAGACTTCATAGGTTCTAAATAAAATTATGAGGCGAATTGAATCATCCTTACGACAAATTTTTACTTAATTATTTTGTTGAGCTCTTGTATATGTGGTATGTAATTTAAGCTGAAGTTGAATGAAGGACGTGCAGAAGAAATTACTTGCATAACTTCTATAACAGTACCAGACACAAGTTCTTAACCCAGTATAAAACTTAACTGAAATACTAAATTGCTACACATAGTAAACAGCATGTAACGCAGTATAGTTTCCCTAAAGATGTTCGTGCGGTAAACTTATGTGATGTTATACAAATTATGTAAAAGGATGTTTTCTGAAATAAAACTATATTGTAAAATCTTTGGACTCTTTGGACATTCTTTGACACGTGATTGTTACTTATCAATAAGTTGGATTCGCTAATTCCATGTTTAAACCATACAACATGTGTCTAGTCTGTGATACACATCCGCGACCACTGACCACTGACCAGTAAGCAGGTAAGCAGATGTGTTATTTATCGACGCTGGTCGCCGCGCCGCGCTCGGCCCAAAACAACGACCAGTAGCCGCGTAATCGCCGCAGAAATGACTCCTAATGACCCCCTCGCCACAAATTGTTTCCCAATGACTTTCCAAACGTAGAATTAAGCCGTCGATTACAACAGGTACAATTAATAGTGTCATTATTGGCGCGTCTCTCCGTGTATCCCGGGAGCCCGTACGACGCCGACTAACTGATTATAAACGAGTCGTTCGATTATCTCGCTACCAATAATTAGATGTTTGCTGTTGCCTTTCTTAATTGTAAATTAAACCGGAGCCCGCACGACGTGCTGTAGATAGCCGATGGTGATCTGGTTCGTTAAATAGCCGCATTAAGCAGCACTGCTCGCCAACACTGTTGCTGTCGGTAATGTAGAATGCAATGACAACGCACGATTACTGATATAATAATGTTAGAAGAATAATGTTGTGCTCTCCTCGGAACCGTTTATATACGTATACCTATTGATGTTTCATGATACCGTACAAGCATTCTTTAAAAAGTGCTTGTTAAAGTGTTTGTTTTAGAAGATAAGAAAATAATAATCAATATTTGAATACGCCTACATTTCAGCAGATAGCACCCTCAATCAAAATAAATCGGCCTAGCTTCAACAAGTAGGAAAAAAGTGGGCGAAAGGGTCCAGGTAAATTTATAAAAGAATTTCTTCTTTTAACAACAGTACAAAAGATAACATTTTAGGTACAGAAACTTTACCATAACACTATCAGTTATTATGTCATTCTATGGTTATACACCTTATGACCGTCTTTCGTAGCCCACAACTCGATCACTCGATACAATTAAAATAATAAACAACTTTTATACTACTAACCTCGATGTTGGCCACTATCCAGTGAAGGTAGTAAGTGTCTTTGGTCAATCCTGGGGCGTCCGGATCTACCATCAGCAGAGTGTACTTGTCCTCCTGTCGAACAAAATAGACTCAAGGTCAATAGTATACATACGATAGGCTTAGTAAGGGCACAAGCTTATCATAACTCATACTACATTCCAAACACATTTTCAAAACTCTAAAATCTGAATCTGGACGCAGTTAAGGCCTCCATAAAATATATGTTTGGATGAATAGGACCCGAGTAACTTTCAATACACATCCATAATTAGGGACCTACACAGCGGACGGCAATCTTGTATGAAAATAAAACCGAATGAAATTTCGCATCAATGAAGATTCATTCGGCAATAGATATTTGACAACATTTGTTACAATTGATCAAAAATACAGTATTTATAGCAAACATGCGGTAAACTACAATTAGTATTTACTTTATTTTATTTATTAACTAGCTGGCCCGACAGACGTCGTCCTGTCCTAATGTGGTTTTATGTCAAAAGCTCGTTCATTTTAGAGATGAGCTCGTTCGCATGGCTCAATCACGTCCTGGTTGAAGTTCGTTCGATACGCTCATACTCACCTTTAGGTTGGAGCTAGTTCGCTGCGCTCACTTGCCTTCAGGTTAGCTCGTTCGCTACGCTCACTTACGCTCACGCTATGCTCACGTTCGCTTTTGGTTGCAAATTAGCTGTTGTCATAAATTTAAAAAAATAATAGTGCTGCACCCTGTTGGTAAACCTATTAAATTTTTAATGCTATTGAACATCACAGAATCAAATTATTTAGTTGAACCAGCTGTTAAGATACTTTAATTCCATTGAAATATGAGTACTCATAAGGTTGACATGGGAAACTCCAGAGCCACTGGGGTGGAGCCCTTTTGACGGATCTGTACCAAACTTCACACAAACCATCCTTGAATAATGCTTAATAATACCTGAAAGTTTCATTACAATCTGTCAAGTGGTTTCGTAGTCCATAAAGGACAAACAAACAAACATACATTGGATTTTATAAGATACGAGGTGTTAGCCCGTCCTACGTACGGGAATTCAGTAGTCAGTTAAAACCGTGTACAATTCAGATCAGCTAGTTTACACAAAGACAAAGTTTCTTGCAGTTTTAATGAGAAAAATCATCTTGTAAACAAATGTTGTGTGACCAAATATGTTTTTATTCCATCATAGGCCTATACGATATGCATTTTAAATCCGATAATTTTACAATAGGTAAAACAGCAATTCTGCAATTTTTGTGAAAACTGTTGAAGTGAGATTTGCAGCCGTTTCGCACACTGATTATAAGTAGCCTACAGTAGAGAGAGTAATAGTCAATTGAGAAGTGTATAGACCTAGTCAACAATACCACCTTCCATAGCATATCTGCCTCTTCCATAATTATTACCACCGCAATACAACTACACTATACACAATTTCCAGTAGGTCTGAATTGAAACTACCTAAAATAAAACGATAATATCCAATAAAATTCACAGTACACGTAATTTAACTTTGGTGTCCTAACATCAAAACTAATCGTCACACCTATCATTGCATTAATTGCTAAATATATAAGCGTAAACAAAGAAAAGTAAAAACAATAACAGTTTGTTTTGAAACAGTTGTTTGGTTCAAATAACATTCAATTGAAAAAAGAATTGGTCACATGTAGCAGGAATATAAAAAGTAAACACGCTAGTAAAACTAATGACGAAATTGTCAATGATTATTATCCATACCGTTATCAGTTCTATCCTTGAAAATTACCCACCCTCATAGAATAAATGTACATCGTAATTTCCCATATTAGTTAATTTAAACTACAATATATTCATCGTTAAAATGAAAGTGATATTTTCACGTTTGGGGCGCTGATATAGGCGCCCCCAAACGTAACCACAACTGAACATGATTTCAAAAGGATGGTTTGTCTAATTGCAGTATCCTAGGTTAATGTTGATGTTGTGTTCAATCTATGTCATCCATCTGTTTATCTTTGTATAAAACCCGGCTGAGGTTGAGGTGGTAATTTAAAATCGTGATTCCTGATTATTCTTCATCTTCTTTTTACGACATCAATATTTCCGCGCCTAATCCAAACAAAGTCCAGACAAACATTAATTTTAAACAAAAAGCTACCATGGAGAATTAAAACATGTTAACATTGTAATTTTTCTAATCTTTCCTTGAAAAGTGTAGCACTAAAATAATTTGCATTTATCCTTTTTTATTAAGACTCGTGTACAGAGCCTCGATTTGTACTGTGGTTTAATTATTTTTTGTTAAAACTGTGGTTTAAACTGTGGTCTAATTATCTCTACTAATCTTACTTATTTACTATAATCAATGACAAAATAAGAGTAAATAAAATAACCTCATAGTTCCATAGTTGATATTTAACCAGCTGTTAGTTAAAACAAATTATATTGCTCTAAAACAAATCGAAAATTACAAAGATCGCTTTAAAAAATAATTTGAACATCCTAGTATTTTACTATGTATATTTAATTAATCTGTCATCCTCTTACAGAAGAATTGAACGAATCAATGATTAGCATTACACATAGTATAAATAAGTCAACCCTTAGTATGTCTTTTATTTTTATCCAAATGCTGAATTTGTGACACAAAAGCTGAATGTTTACAGCTGTTATGTTAAGCAAATTATTTTATGCCAAAAGCTAGTTTAGAATCTTATCGTCGGCTGCTAGACTTTTAAAAAATTAAAACTTAATTTCTAAAAAACTGGGACCCTAAACTAAAATTATGGCTTCGACATTCCCTAGTTTTCAAAATTATCTTTCTTTCAACACAAAAATCGTGAAAATCCGTCGAGTGGTTGATTCAGAATCGTGAAATAAAAAAACACACTTTCGTTTTAATATTATAGATATAAGATTGTAAAAGAGTCTTAATTTACAATTACATTCCCAGCATAGCTTAATCGTTACCAACGCCATGGCGAATGTCTTTGAGAACCTTGGTCTCCGATTACGGACCCACTACGCACGATGCTTCTACGCACGAATACGTATACAGTTCTTTGATCATCTTTGAGACGTTTATTACACAAGAAACTTCATATAGATTAAGTGTTAACAATTCAATGCACTTACAGGTTTAGCGTCAGACAGAGTAACAACGGGCTGCTTCTGAAATTCAGATTTGTTGTAGAAAGTGTTGCAGTTTTTAGACGAGAGCTCCAGGTTTGTGGGGACACTTTTGACCATAAGGCCGCCACCGAGGCTGCAGACGTCGTCTCTCCAGTTGTTGGTACCAGGGCTGGGGCAGTTCCCCGGGGCCGCGAGGACACCGTGGACCACTTGGGCGAAGACCCAACACACTGTCATCACGTCCATGCTGCTGCCACTGACTGTTGACAAGTCTCGGTGTTTATGTAGTCAGCTGTGCCCTTGGTCGTTCAGCTGATCAAGCATGGGTTTCTTCACTTTCTCCCGAATCACAAAAAAACCACTCTGTTTTATGCACTTTTAAAACAGCAAAAAGGAAACCTAACGCCGATTCTTCGCATTCGTGCTAGCATGTTTAGAATAAAAACTTCAAAAGTAAATTTTATAGCTTTTTGTAGGTACTCGTTTCTAACCAGCAACAGTTTGTAAGTTTATAAAAAATGTTACATATCTACAAATCTAAACAAAACAGCAAGGATTTAGTACTGATTAACAATTAATGAAACTACCGGGCCAGGCTTTCTAGATACAAAATTATAAATGTACCTGCATGAAGATTTCTAGAATTGTTTTCTTTTACAAAGATCAAATTTCTCTATCAAAAGCGATGGCATCCGTGCTGACGTGCTTTTTGAATCGAATTAAATTGTTTTTTATTAAGAATATTTCGTACTTTTATGTTTTGGGTTACGATCAGAACCAAAATTGCTATCTACAGGGATTTGAAAATATTTTGTATTTTTAGATTTTAGCAAGTGGAGAGTTTATTCAACTAAATCATTTTCAAACGGGGCAGCCAGAAACGTCGCAGGGCATTAACCTTGGTTTCAAGGCTTGGGAAACTCTTTTTCCGGTCCAGGGAGAGAGCTGATTTTAGCGGTTTATTGAACCGCAAATGCGAACAAAGGATTTATTTCAGATGAGATAAATATAGTTTTAGTGACTTTCCCTATAGGGAAGTCGCTATTACCCTAGGTAGCACACGGAAAGCCGTAGATCCGGGATCGATTTGCTTCTTCGTTTTGATGTCACCAGAAGCCATAAACACAATGCGTTCAAATATGGTTAAAGGCCATGCCACAGCCACGCGGCGGGCGCGAACACGAAGTTTAAAAAATCGCTCACCATGTTAACAAATGGGACAAGTAACACAGCACTACTGCGCCCGCGGGCGTGCGGTGTTCACCACAACAGCTTTCTGCACGATTTTTTGAGACTACCGCGGCGGTAGTTTGGTCTAACGCATGCGCAGAGGTGCACCTCGAACATTAATAATTCGCATTATTAGTAATAATTTTCATGTTCTCTCCTACATATCTATATAAGAAATAATCCTAACAAGAAGTGCATAGGACCTTTCTTGTATTTTATTTTACGTAGATTATTTAAACATATCACAAACGTTTTGCTAAAGGCCATGGTTTTTTGAGCTATTTATGAAAAACCTATTTTCACCTTAGCTCCACCCACGCCGATCAGTACTTTTAGTATGTTGTTTAAGGACCCTTCTTCCCCTACAACCGTACATAATTTGGCTTAAGAATTCTTTCCTCTATTTTAGATAATTTCATGGAGCCGGGACCGATATACTTTTCATTTTGATGATCATTGAGGCCAAAAACATCATTCGTTCTAATTTATATATGTAGTTGTTATAGCCTAATATAAGTCCGCCGACAAAATAACTTGAGTAATTTTTGTCCGATTTTGATTTATACATTTGGCTTGAAGATGTAGGGCGGGATAAACTTGGATGAGTTCGCGAACCATGGGAACCTGGTTTTACGGGGTAAAATTGGAATTTTATGAGGTATTACAAGTTTCTAGAACAAATGATTAATTATGTTGGTTTACCTTATGATTGCCAGGTTCTTGATGAATGAAGAAGTTTAAGCTCTATGTAAATTTCGCCACAAGTGTGGCATCATCAGGAGCTGATTTGAGTTTCTTGTCACATCACTATCACTTTAAAGTCACTAAAAAGCAATCGATACTGCTACTCGTTAGTGACTTTAGGTGATAGCTTGATGTGATGTGACAAGAAACTCAAATCAGCTCCTTAAGATGCCACACTTGTGGCGAAATGTAGAGCTTAAACTTCTTCATTCATCAAGAACCTGGCAATCATAAGGTAAACCAACGTAAAAATTGGGTTTTCTCATTTTTGACCCTCAAAACACAAGATTTCCCAATTCTCTCTAAACCTCTTTAAAGAACTTAATAAAACAAATCATTTAGTAGGTATATCATTATAACAAAGTGTTTTTGTGCGGTTATTGATAACGGAGAATGTAAAAAAAAAATTAAATTTAAAACGAGGTGTTAGCCCGTCCTACGTACGGGAGTGGTCAGTTAAAACTGTGTATAAATCAGAACAGCTATCTTACACGTATAAAGACAAATTTTATAGCAGCCTACAGTAGAAAGAGTTTATCAATTGAGAAAGTGTATAGGCCTAGTCAACGATATCACTTTCCAATTCCATCGCATACCTGCCTCTTCCATAATCAATATCACCACAATACAATAACTCATACTATACACAATTTCCAGTAGGTCTGAATAGAAACTCCCTAAAATAAAACGAAAACATCAAATAAAATTCACAGTACACATAATTATAACGTTGGTGTCCTGACATCATTAAACGAATCGTCCACGGATATATTTTGATCAAACTTGGCCAATTTATTTATTTTATACTGAGCTTTATTATTATTTTACTAAAACACACTTTATTAGCCTCCCTGTTGCAGCAAACCTAGGTATGATATCGTTAGGTTTATGTTATTTAAAAATATATTTAATTGAAAATCAAATCAGGCAAATGGACATTCGCTTAGTCTGCAGGTTTGCTGCGGCGCGGGTATTATACAGTAGTTGTAAGATAAGGCAAAATAAAGTGCACCCTGACTAATTTTGCCTTATTTTTACACAAAAAACGTTCTATTTCAGTTATTTTGTCATCCGAGCTTTTTTATTTTGATAGGAAATTGAAAATGAAAAATAAAAGTGTACATGTTTATGGAAATATTTTGGTAAAAAATAGAATCAGAAAAATTCTAATTTGCTTAGTCTGCTGGGAGTACTTATACCATGTGATTGCTTTATACGTTATACACGTTATGCAAACAAAATTTATTGTAAAGTTACATGAATTTAACATATGTACCAGTAATCCTACAAAACGTTTGGGGTTCCAATTAAAACATGCTCTTTGCGACATCGATGTATTAGACTATACATCGATGCTTTGCGATGAGCTAGAGCTATTTATTTTCATCACGAAGCCTGCCTATGCTCTCTCTTATCTCGCACTGTGACTGTTCCCGGCCCGCCAATTCTAGTGTTGTTGTTGCTTGTACAGTTGTAAATTGAGGTTATGTTATGAATTAATCATATGCACCGCCTCTAACTGTCAAGCCAAGTCCGCGGTATTAGCATAGATTAAACAGTATATTTTAGCCTTATCATTGTGCTATCATTCTCAGGCTGTGTTCTCGAAGATGCACGTGAGTACTGAGCGGTTTCTGCCCGGTGAGGAGTTGAAGACTTCGCTACAACAATACGTCGCCACCCAGGGTCTAGAAGCTGCCTTTATCATCACCTGTGTGGGAAGTGTGAGCAAAGCTACCCTGAGGTTCTCCACACAGCAGTCCGGACCAGGCAGTGAAAAGGTGACAGTAAAAAACACTACTTTATTTTAGAATTACAAGTTTTTTTTTAATATTGCAAATTCTTTTATATGATTTAAATTAGCTAATGTTTAACGCTTTAAAAGTCCTGGAGGCAGCTAAATATTTTATAAAATAATAAAGATAGAGAGCTACAAAACTTAAAACGAAGCCACTGGACAAAAAACATTAATCCATTATATTTATAGTGATAAACTTCCTCCTCAGGGAAGTAGTCCCTGCTAGAAGTCCAAAGTCCCCGCTAGGATAAAAATAAAATTCATAGGAGTCCAAGTAAGCATTAGTTGATAGGTACATCAACTTAAAGGTATTTTAATTTTGTTAGTTAAATACGTCGCAAACGCGAACTCAAACACGCCCGTGTTTGAAAAATGTGAAAAATGTTTGAATGGCTGTCATTTTCTACCCTGTTGCCCAACAGGGTAAAAAATGACAGCCATTCAAACATTTTTTGAATTTGTAATTTTGAATATTTTTACAGCTTCCACTTTTGACTTGTTTGTTCGTTAAAGTTCATGTTTATGGAATTGTGGTTTGATAACAAAGACCTTTAATTTTATGTATAGGACCGTATAGCCCCGGTAGGCCTACCAACCTATGCTTAGGCTACCATAAAATATTTGGTGAGCGAAATATCATACAGAGCAGAGCAGGTATGACGTCATCGTTCATACGATCGATAGCTAGTCTTTCGATGTGGCTAGTTCTGGAGTTCGTATCGATATTTTTGACTATCGGTCACGGCTTTGCTGTGACAACAGGGACTGGAGACTGGAATTGTTGAATTGTTGGAGTCGGAGTAGTGGAAGTCGAAAATGGATTGGGGTGCCTTCTGGTTCTGTTCGTTGTTGTTGTAAACTAAAGTGCAGCCGTTTGTAAAGTCAACTTAGGCAAATTTTTGTTTGGGAGTTAGGCCTACTGTACATTTTATTAACCTAACTTAGCCATACTACTTAATTATGAATCAGCACCGTCATAGTTTGCATCGGACAAATCCTGGTTTCAATGTTAAAATTAGTTTTTATTTATGAAGCCAGTGACAAGAAATTCAAATGTTGATTTTGAAAGCTATTTTTTAATCCAGTAGGCACCTTTCTAACTTAGTTCTTGTAGATTTCTGTCTCAAACTCCACTGTTGTTGTTTGAAATAAGAATCCCTAAGAACTAAAGGTGCCTAACTTAATGGATGAAAGGTACCTACCGATAACAAAAATTGATATTTCAATGTTAGGTCTTAAAAATATTATAAAAGATTTTGATCCAACAAGTCAATGGAGATTATCAGTAGGCCTGAGTTAACTAAAGTAACTTATACATAATTAAATAAGTTACATGTTAGGCAGGCTTTATTTTATTTAGGCTATTTTATCTATTTCAACAGCTAACATTTACATCAAAGAAAGATGGTTTACGTTTACACAAGTATGAACAAAGATAGTTATACCGTTATACGAATAAGTTGGAAAACAACTGGGTAGTTCAAGTTATTGGATTGAATAAATTAACTCTAGAGCTGATCAACATAGTGAACAAGCAGTTCACTCAGAAATTTTAAACTGTAAATATTATTTTAAATAAGTGTTTAAATGTATTCCGTGATTTGTTGATAGACCAACTGGATTTATTATCTATCACCTGGACCTCCATATTTATTTATTTATATTTCCTAAAAGCTATTTTCATTTACAGGAAAGGTACGGTACGGTACGATGCAAAGCAAATGCAATGCAAAGCTGCTATAACTTATTCGATAACAACAAACTAAAACTATCGAGCACCAACTAACCACATCGAAAGACTAGCTTAGCTATCGATCGTATGAACAATGACGTCATCATACCTGCTCTGCTCTGTATGATATTTCGCTCACCAAAATATTTTCTTCTGACTCCTCGCGGACCGCTCCCTTGAGAAGGTAGTTTATCACTAAATAATTAATTACAACTATTTTTGTGTCCAGTGACTTTGTCGCAAAATTTGTAGCTCTATCTTTATTATTTTATAAATATTTAGCTGCCTCCAGGACTTTTAAAGCATAAAGAAAATAACATATCCATTTTTAAGTTTTTTTTTACTTTTGTTAATTATATATAAATTATGAAGATTTTAAAATTTGTTTCAAATTTTATGTACGTTATTTGTGTAGCTTACAGAATATATTTTGTGCTAATAGCCTATGCATAGTTTCAGATTAGTTTCTCATCAAGTCCTTTCATTCAAGTATGCGGTTGATATGATTCAATTATCAATTAGGCTAAATTAATTGAGATATGGACTACACCTAGGTGTGTATTTTAATGTGTACGGATTACGGTTTACTCAAAAGTTTGTAGTCTTTATTAGCTTTATATCATTGACTATTGGATACAGAAGTTGTTGTTTTAATAGTCAAAGCTTTATATATAGATTCCAACCTAGAAGGTTATTATTTTAAGTTCAAATTAAATTAATTACACACAGACAAACACGCATATAATGAAACCTCTTCTTTTTAGTAAATAGTTGATTGTTACATTTGAGAATAATATAGAGTCTTAACTAAGAAATATAAAAACTTCAAACAATCAAATTACATTGAGTTCTTAACTGAAGGTAAGTTAATAATTTACAATCTTGATACAAGTGGTTATGTAAAAAACATGTAAATTTATTGTGTAGAGTTCAAAAACTTGACAAATATTGTGGTTCTGGCCACTTATCTGGACTTATCAGTCGGAATCTTTATGACATTGGCAGATTCAATTGTTGCTGTAGAGTGTTTCAAATGTCAGGGCAGGTAAAAGTGTTTACAATTTGCTTCAAAAAAGGGGATGATCTCAAGGACTGTGTTAGAGACTTTGTAGTGAAAAACAAACTTTGTGCTCCATTCATCCTATTGTCAAAAGGTACTGTGAAGAGTGTCATGCTTTCTCTGAATTCCACTCCTTCTTTTGGCCCTCCATTCCCTGCTCAAGAAGAGGTTTGTTTATATTGTGACATTTTTAGATTCTTTTGATTAAATAAAACACAGCCAACCGTTATAACTGATGATTATTTGTCATCACTATTATTTATTTGCAGTTTTATAATCTTTATCTTTTTAATTTTTGACCCAGTCTCATTATGAGATTTGACATTTAAAACAATACCCTTCTAAGCAGACTCTGTTCTTTAAACGTTTGTTTTAATAATTTTTTTTTTTTTTTTTTTTAACTTAATTTTATTTTACAATCTGTTCAGTACTTTGAACAATTAGTAAAAGGGATAATATAAATAAGTGTCTTGACCAAGAATCTTCCCTGTGAAAGATCTTGCAAAATTAAATAGTCACGTCATAACTAAAACTATACAAATCGGAATGGGAGTTCTAGAACTTTCACAATTTTCAGTCTGTTGGGAAAATCACTATTGTCCAGCAAATTAACGGCTATATTGTTCGGGTGGGTTTCGAGTTTTTCTTGATAGTTCTTGCTAATTCTTGTTATTTCTTCAATTACTGTAGGTATTCTGAAATCTTCATGGATTGTTCGATTCGAAACAAACCACGGAGCATCAACTATTCTTCGTAGCGCCTTTGACTGAAATCTTTGAATAATTGCTAAGTTGGATTTACTTGCCGTTCCCCAAAGCTGTATCCCGTACGTCCAAATAGGTTTGATCATAACTTTGTAAAGTGTGAGTTTATTGGTCAACGAAAGCTTAGATTTTTTGCCTAGAAGCCAGTTGAGTTTACGAACCTTCAAGTCCATTTGTTGTCCATTGTCCAAAGGTGTAAGGCAGGATACACTTGAATGAGTTTGCGAACCAGCAAGATCAGACCATGAGAATGGGGTTTTACAGGGTAAAAAGTGGGTTTTCTCATTTTTGACATCCAAAACACAAAATTTCCGTATTTCTCTCTTAATCTTTTAATCTGTTTAAAGAGCTCAAAAAATTAATAATTTAGTATATCTAAGTATTTTTGTACGGTTATTGGTACAACGGTCAACGGAGAAAATAAAAAAAAAAATTAATTTAAAACTCCCATGTTATTCTTATGGAGAATATTGTAAAATGTTGTAATTTGCTTGTTTCTGGATATATTTTGATTAAACTTGGCAAATTTATTTATTTTATACCTACTAAGCTTTTTTATATTTTACAAAAAAATACACTTTATTAGTTTCCTTGTAGCACCAAATCTAGGTACTCATTAAACCTATTTCTATACAGTAGATTTAATTGAAAATCAATTCAGACAAATGGAAATTCGCTTAGTCAGCAGGTTTGCTGCGGCGGGGGTATTTTGTTGACGGACGGTATCAAGCAGATATTTCTGTGTACAAATAAAGTGTACTTAATTTTATTTTAAAGGAATTTTCATATGAAGTAAATGATAATAGCCCACCACACAGATTGCAGATACATTTGCAAAGAAGAATAATAAAGAAACTTTTAGATGTTTTAACTTATACTGAACTCTTTTCCATACAATACAATATTTAGATCCAAATATTTGTAAAAGTAACAAAATGAATTTGGCTTGATGTTTAAAATAGCATTATCAAGATCGATATGCTGATATGCTCAACAGTCTGATATTAAATATTACTGAGTTTGATTGTTAAAACGTAAACGTACATTGACTCGGTAAATCGTCATAGAGAAGTAGTTGGTATCATTTTGAAAACAAAAATGGCCAACAAGAGTAACGTGCAGTGTTATACCATCCGCCTCTTACCTGGGCAAGATCTCAAAGAGGAAATTGAGAGTTTTGTTGAAAAGAAGAACTTGGAGGCAGCATTTATCATGACTTGTGTTGGCAGTATTAATGGAGGAACACTCAGATTTCCAATACCAAAGACAGGACCAGTTCCAGCAGCCAATAGGGCAAGTAAACATTACATTTAAATCCTCTTTCTCCATGCTTATTAAATAATTGTAATTATATAGTTTTATTTTAGATTAAGCTTTTAACTAAGAGCCAATAAATGGCCAAAGCCTGCAGAATAGTGAATAGCAGTAAAATATTCTTAATAATTGAATGTTCAAAAGAATTAAAAACTACAAGTGGTTATAGTAATCTCTATTATTGTGTTTACTTTACTTGAATGCAATTGTGTGTAAGTACCAGTATGTATATAATAAGTATGTATATGCATGATTTTAGGTGGGAAAATATAAGAGGACAGTTTATTTCTATACAAAATTTGACTGTGAAAAAACAATCCATAAATTTGCTATACCTTCTTCTTCTTCTTTTAATCTGAATATTCCTGAAGGACCTTGAGATGGTAAATTGTTATAATAATCTTCATAAATGGTAAATTAATTGTTCTTTGATTCAAGAGAAAATAGTCATTATACAAGTGAAAATGTAAATTTAAGTTCATAGATATACATCAGGCTGAAGTATACACGCTCACTTCTAACTTGAATACTATAATCTTAGCAGAGGGGGTATTTATCAGCGTATTTATAGAGACTAGTGGTCGTCCCTTGCTCAAAAACCTGACCAAAAATATGTATTTTGTAAACTTTTCTATTTTTGCTGTAAATAAAACATGTGATTGGAGTTTCTTCCATTTGTTTTGATTTTCTGTTTACATTTATTTGTTACTTCGTCACCAGCATGGCAACCAATAAGGTCCATGTACATTTTTTTTCAATTTTAGATTAATTTGTTGTGCTTATTTTTAACCTATTTTAATTTATAAAGGGATTCTGCACATATACAACACAAGCAAATATCTTTCTAACTGTATGCGTAGATTTTCCCTGCGATGCACACAAGCTGAGATAAAAGGATAAAGAAACAGGTTTGCCTATTAATATATAGATTACCTACATACTAGAAGGTTTCCGGTTTGATTTTGACAAATTTAGTAGCATTTTGATGGTTGAAAACTGAACCCAGGTGTGCTTTTTTTCATTGAAATGTTGTAAATTATAATAGCTAAAGAAATCCTCAGACAATAAAAAGTCAATCAATGCATTAAGCCAATCTTAAAAACACACTCCATTCTTTAAATTAAGCATACAATGCAAACTCATCTTAAAATAGTGATATAGAAAGTATTTTATGTAAATTCAGGTGAATGTCCTTGATAATAAGTAACTGTCCAGGAATGCTAATCCACACCAACATTTTGTATTTGTGATAAAATAAAGTTGTTTGGTTTTATAAGCATACACATGTTAACAAACCAATCACTTTTATTATTAGTAGTCTCTTTGTGACAACGGCAACGGTTTGCTTTGTATTGAACAGTAGAAAAACATCTCTTATTAAGCGCAATCAAAGTAACTACTAAACTTAATTCCTAATCTAGGGATTACTAAATCATATAATATAGGACTAACAATGATCTGGTGGCAGGAGGTGACGTACAGGAAGGAGTACTTTGACATCCTATCGCTGGTGGGTACAGTGTCACAGGGAGGTGCTCATCTACATGTGGTGCTAGGGAGAGCTGATGGTACTGTGGTGGGTGGCCATCTCGTAGGCAACGCCAAGATCCACACCACAGCTGAAGTCGTCATAGGGGAGAGCCTAGCCGAAGTCTACATCCGCAAGAACGACCCCAACACTACTTTCAATGAACTCGAAATCAAACCACGGAGTCGTTGATGGACTCTCCCATTCAATGTTTCAAAATAAAATTTCAAGCTGTTAGTCTAAAGCATTTTTTAGTCTCCAATATAAAACTTTGTTGTAACTCCTTCACAATCTCCTATTTGTATTTTTCCTTACCAAATTAAAAAACGTATACCTTAGTATATATAATTAAAACATAAGCAGTTATTAGCGAATTTCCCTATAGGGAAGTAGCTATTACCGTAGGTGGCATGGTAAGACCTAGGCCCGGGACCGATTTACTTTTTCATTTTGATGTCCCCAGAGGCCAAAAACACCATTCGTTCAAATTTTTATATATGTATATATATATATATATATATATATAGATTTATATATATATGTGTCCGTGAACACGATAACTTGAGTAATTTTTGTCCGATTTTGATGAAATTTGGTTTGAAGGTGTAAGGCGGGATAAACTTGAATGAGTTCGCGAACCAGCATGATCGGACCATGGGAACAGGGTTTTACGGGGGGTTTTATGGGGTAAAAATTGGTTTTTCTAATTTTTTACCCTCTAAACACAAAATTTCCCAATTTCTCTCCGGACCTTTTTAAAGAGCTTAAAAAAAGAAATAATTCAGTATATCCAAGTGTTTTTGTACAATTATTGGTTACGGAGAAAATTAAAAAAAATGTTATTTTAAAATTCCCATGTTATTCTTATGGAGAATATTGTAAAATGTTGTAGTTTGCTTGTTTATGGATATATTTTAATCAAACTTGGTAAATTTATTTATTTTATACAAAGTTATTCATATTTTACCAAAAATACACTTTTTTACCCTCCCTGTAGCACCAAGCCTAGGTACTCATAAAACCTAATGTTAATTAAATACATTCAATTGAAAATCAATTCAGGCAAATGGAAATTCGCTTAGTCGGCAGGTTTGCTGCGGCGGGGGTTATTTATAAGTCATAAACTGTGTTTTTAGCGAATTTCTCATATAGGGAATAAGCTTTTACCCTAGGTCTCATGGTAAAAGCTAGACTTTTTAGCGAATTTCCGTATAGGGAAGTAGCTATAACCGTAGGTGACACGGGACCCGGGACCGATTTACTTTTTCATATTGATGTTCCCAAAGCCAAAAACACCATTGGTTCAAATTTTATATACTGTATATAACAAAATATTTAGTAAATATTTAAAGTGTTTTTGTACGGTTATTGATAACGGAGAAAGTTCAACCAAATTTTTATTTAAAATTCCCATGTTATTCTTATGCAGAATATTGTAAATTGTTGTAGTTTGCTTGTTTATGGATATATTTTGATCAAACTTGGCAAATTTATTTATTTTATACTAATAGGCCCCTGAATATGTGGTTTGACCTAGAAATAATTAGAACACAGATGAAACCATTGTTGTTCGATAGTGAAAAGTATTGAGAATAATATATCAAAAGTCTCCAAAAATATCTTTGGTGGAACACCACCATTTTTCCAAAATGGCGGCCAAATCCAGTAGTTTTTTGCTTTTTATTGAAATTCTGACTTTCCAGTCAATATTGGTGAAAAGTCGTCAATACATTTAATGTTCCTCCTGAAATTACCTTTAAAATGATACCAAATACATGTACCTACAACAAAAAATAAACCCCGTACAAATAATAAAATATTTCAAATAAAAATATTTGTTATAAATTAATGTAATAGTCCACCAAACTAAAAAAAAACCAGACACAGGGATCGTATAAAAATTTGCAAGTAAACATTTTATGGTTTTATTTTTATTGTTGTGGTGTGCAGAGTGACATACCAAAAGTTGCAAAAATCAGTCCACGGGAAACCCCTAAATTAAGGAAAAAATGGCGGCTTTTTCCAATATTGGACAAATTTTGCAACAAAACATACCACATGTTTTTTTGCACATTTTTTGAGATATTGACTTGGAACCACGGCCGATATTTATTGGATGGTCCGTACTTAATTTCAATAGGGAACGCTTTTTGGGCCGCCATCATGGATCAGCCATATTGGATCTGCCATATTGGATATAAATATTTTTTAATGTAATAATAGTGTTGTGACACATCATTATGAACTAGATTTCCACGCTGATTTCAATGCTGAAATCCGTTTTTAAATAAGTTTATTCGTTGCTTAAGATATATTAAAACGAAAACTCTCCCCTATACATCAGTTATGGACGTATTGTAAGTTACTTAGAAAATGTGTTTGGATTATTTTTCTCCAGGTATTATTATTGCTTGCAGTTCGTTCTAGCCTTAAAATATTCAGTGATAAAAGATCTTTCATTTTTGTTAGCTTTCATTTTGTTTTATTTATAGTTAAAACAGACTAGTTATAGACGAGGTACAAACCCCAACACAAAATTAAATTAAACTTTTTTATCAGTTTTTGTTAAAAGATTTATATCTCGGGTTGTTAATATGTTAACAAGTTCATTCTGGTATCAAAGTACTCAGTAAATGTTTGGCTTTAATTTTATTGATTATTAAATGACACATGACAAATTTAAAACGAATCATGTAGGCCTACCTTCAATGAACTATTGAGTGAATTATTGTTATTTTGAAATTTGTCTTTAGTTAAAGACATTTATCCCCAACTAGTGTACATGTTGCTCGAAATCGAGCAATTGCAAAGAAGTACAGGAGTTACATATACACAAATGACTTGTTTAAAAACTAATAACAGTCATTATTTCCGATGATATTTAAAGAGTCAACTAAAAGATTAACTAATGGAAATACTCACAATTTACATAACAGTCCTCTTCCAGTTATAGGGTTAATTTTTAACTATCAAACTGCCCATGGACGGGAAAAGGTAAGCTTACAATTTAAGTCAACGTAAAAAGGCTGTCAGCTTTTATAATGTACCATACCTAAGTTATTTATCCAATTTGTAGACAATAAGGTGTAGGCTACTTTAAACTCTACAGGACAGAGTTAGGCAAAAACTGACAGAACTCTGAAATGGTGTTATTTATAATAGGCTTACTCATATACCAAATCCTTAAAATAAAAATGCAATAACTAATATCATTGAACACAAACCAACATCAAAAACTATACACATTTTTAACATAGATAATTTACACATTGACTGTTTACAATTAACATATGTTCTTCTTCTCACTTTTAATTTTTGCTTCGCAACGGGAAAAATCTGTTTCATAATCATTGAAATAGATTTATAATACATTTTTATATAATAGTATAGATCATAGTATAGAATCTATCATAAAGTTTAAGATTAAATAAACCTACTACATAGTTGTTTAATTTTTTTGGATCAGCTGTCTGAAATTATGAAATAAGCATTTGACAGTTCTGGTTGTTTACATTTAAATGTCAAAGCAAATGTAAACATTGTGAATTTTCTCATGCTTCCATGGAGACCAATTATTAATATTTAATTTCTGACAACAGCTGGAGTTTCAAAACAATGTTTGTTTCCCATGTTAATCTTATGGAGAAATACGAAACTTTAAAGGGCCCCAGGGCCTCACTCTCTAATTATTTCTCCAAAAAGAAAGTTTCCTGCACAACTTCACGTTACGTTCTTTCCAATGACACCAAAAACATGTCAATCGGTTCAGTAGTTTCGGAGGAGTAATTGTCACAAAAATCCTGCTTGTGTATTAAATAAGTATAGATTCTAAATAACTCCCAATAAGGAATCCATAGCTAAAATAAAAGTCAATATTTGAACGAATAGCTATGACTAGTTTTTCCCGTTTTCACTCTGCACAACATTACAAAATAAAACCATAAAACGTTTTGTTGAAATTTTTTAAAGGCCATATCCTATATTTATCTAAATATAATTTCCAAGTTACACAGTTACAGTGATTTATAAGTACAGTTATTTGTTAGTCATATGTACCATCAGTAAAAACACCACTCCCAATCTGTTGGACCTGCTGGTGAACTATTTCCACGCCATACTTGAACCTGATAGTACAACCTTAGACTGTGGTAGTTTTCAATGTGTTTTTAAATTGTCAAAGTACGAAACGTCCATAAGAAATGTATGGGGGAGAGTTTTCGTTTTTATATATCTTAAAATCGTAAAACGCTATTTAAAAAACTGATTTCAGCATTGAAATCAGCGTGGAAATCTAGTTCATAATGATGTGTCACAACACTATAATTACATTAAAAAATATTTATATCCAATATGGCAGATCCAATATGGCTGATCCAAGATGGCGGCCCAAAAAGCGTCCCCTATTGAAATTAAGTACGGACTATCCAATAAATATCGGTCGTGGTTCCAAGTCAATATCTCGAAAAATGTTCAAAAAACATGTGGTATGTTTTGTTGCAAAATTTGTCCAATATTGGGAAAAGCCGCCATTTTTTCCTTAATTTAGGGGTTTCCCGTGGACTGATTTTTTGCAACTTTTGGTATGTCACTCTGCACACCACAACAATAAAAATAAAACCATAAAATGTTTACTTGCAAATTTTTATACGATCCCTGTGTCTGGTTTTTTTTAGTTTGGTGGACTATTACATTAATTTATAACAAATATTTTTATTTGAAATATTTTATTATTTGTACGGGGTTTATTTTTTGTTGTAGGGACATGTATTTGGTATCATTTTAAAGGTAATTTCAGGAGGAACATTAAATGTATTGACGACTTTTCACCAATATTGACTGGAAAGTCAGAATTTCAATAAAAAGCAAAAAACTACTGGATTTGGCCGCCATTTTGGAAAAATGGTGGTGTTCCACCAAAGATATTTTTGGAGACTTTTGATATGTTATTCACAATACTTTTCACTATCGAACAACAATGGTTTCATCTGTGTTCTAATTATTTCTAGGTTTTGCTATTTATTTTCTTATTTTAAGGCGCCTATAAGCTATTAATATTTTACTAAAAAATACACTTTATTAGTTTCCTTGTAGCAGCAAACCTAGGAACTCATTAAACCTAATGTTTTTAAATAGATTCAATAAAAAATTAATTCAGACAAATGGAAATTCGCTTAGTTGGCAGGGTTTGCTGTGGCGGGGGTAAAAAAGGCGGGAGGTCTCCAGAGGCAAAAACACCCTCTGTTCAAATTCATATATGTATATATGTGTATATCCGTTAGGGCAATAAATCAAGCAAAAAAGATCCGATTTTGATGAAATTAATCAATTTGCAGTCATGAAGTTTATAAAAATAGAAAGTGGTTAAAATCAAACACATGGGTTCAGCACACCTGTTTGATGCTGCTGGATGCTTACTATGGCCATCAGGTGACTCAACAAGCCAACTTAGCTGGGTTGGACTCGAAGGCCTAGCAGATCTGATGTCAAGTAGTCTTGTTTTATACCCATCAGATCCCTATGGTGGTAAAGGAGCATTTTTCTGCCATCACTTTTTTAAGCTTACAGGTATATGTTGTATTGTATAAATACAGTTCTATGTTGGTCAAAATAAGTTATGTAACATCATACTATGGAATCAGGGCCGATTTACCCAATAGAATGGTAGGCACATGACTAGGAAACGAGGCAATTGGCTTTTTTGGGAGGAGGGGCGTCAAAAATTGGAAAAAAAATTTGTTGTATTTACATGCAACAAACTAACAAAAACCTGCAGACCAACCTCTAATAATCCCTCGCGGCCGTTTTGCCATCGTAACCATCTCCCGATTGCGGCAAAATGTTAATTATTTCCACCGGTTGTGTAGACATAATCATCGTCTTCCATTATCACGGCCATATATGAGAACATATTCCAGGGTCGTGAAGTTATCATTATTGTATCTCCCTCGATCCTGTAGAGATCGTAATCGTCTCCCGCGGTCGTGAAGACATTGTAATTGCCTCCCACAATTGCGGCAAACTTTAAATCATATACCGCCGTCCTGTGAAGATCATCATCGTCTTCTGCGGTCGCGGTAAAATTCAAACTTTTCCCCTCGGTCGTGTGGACATTATCATCCTTCTGCGATGGCGGAATTCTGACCATCCCTTGGGGCTGTGTGTAGACATATTATTGTCTCCCGTGGTTACAGAAACTTCACTGTTGTCATGCGCGAGTGCGGTAAATGAAAAATTACAGGTAGAAATCCAAATTTTACTCATAATTCCCGGTTTAAAAAAAACTCACACATAATTCCTGGATTTCCTGGTCGGTGGACACGCCTTGCAAAGGGGCGCTGCTATTAGTTGTGCCTAGGGCGAAGACAGGGTAAAAAACAGGCCTGTATGGCATGTGAGATAGCAACCATGATAATCATATGATAAAAACCTCTCCTGATAGCTCTCACCTACATGCAGTTCTGAGTATTGTGGTCATGTTGCAGGTAGTGACATATGATGAGAACCTAGAGATATGCTCGCTGGTTGGCACCTTATCTCATGACGGCTCTCACCTACACGCAGTACTGGGTAGAGCGGACGGCAGTGTAGTGGCCGGGCACGTGGTGGGGGACATGGTGGTGCAGACCACAGCGGAGGTTGTCATCGGGGACAGCACGACCGAGAAATACTCCAGAGTCCTCGACCCAGCCACCTCATACAATGAGCTTGTCATCACAAAACGACAATAAACAATGTTACAACTGCTTATGTAACCAAATCTATTTTTTGCGTCCAGAAAGTTTACTTGATAATGGTTTAAGCACTTTTAAAATGACTATTTTACTGACAGCATATAATCAATGCTAGCAGTATTAAATTCAATTCATTGACACAAGAATATTTTCTTTTACTATTACAGTAATTAACTTTTTTAGGTTATGTGCCGATTCTCGATATTACCTATACTTGAACATTGGTATCGGTATAGAGAATCGATTGTCAAAAATTGATTCTGATACCGATACCAACCTCTGCAAAGATCGTGCAATCGGAAAATTGCAAGGATCCGCAAAAACACGATGACGTTTCCGTGACCGTGGTAGACAATACTAATGTCTACATTGCCACTGGAAATGATCAGCATTTTGCCGTGATCGCGGGAGATGATGATAATGTCTACATAACAATGAGAGATGTTAATGATTTTGTATCAATAAAGTAAGCTGGACAAATATGGTTTTGCCACTAAAATCAAGAGATGTAGAAGCTGAGAGCTTTTTTGAAGGCTGGTGCTCAAAAAAGGGCCTCACAATCAATCCGGACAAAACATAGTTAATATCCTTTACAAGAAGGAGAAAAAGCAAGTCCCCCCTGGAAATAAGGGGGAAAATAGTAAAGTCAGTTAAGGAAACAAGATACCTTGGAGTCTTCCTTGACCCGAAACCTACCAGGATCAGGCACCTTGACTATGTATTTGCAAAAGGAATAGGAGCATTCGGAGCCTGTAGAAGAACCTTTTGTAATAAATGGGGGCTTAGCCCCAATCTATTGGACTTAAGAGAACATAATCCAGTCAATGGTCCTAGTGTGGTGGCCAAAAGCAGTGCAGACAGTGGCTGGCACGAAGATGCAACAGCTGAAAGGCTAGAATGCACGGGGGTCTGTGGGACCATGAAATCCTGCCCGACAGCTGCACTTCAAGTAATACTTGATATGCTTCCGCTAGGGTAGGAAGTAATGAAACCTGCTACCACTACTGCTCTTAAAATGGGTAGGTAGCAGAGGTGAGTTAAAGCTTCAGAGAGGGACTAGACATCACTGTCCATACTAAGGGCCTTCTCGAGTATGGAACTAACAATGCCAGCCCTAATGACTAAAGAGTACGATTTCGAGATTCCTTTTCAAGTTCCTATAGGAGGAGAAAGGAACGAATAGCAAGAGGTAATTCTTAAGATGGGCAGGGAATGCCTGGTATTTTATACAGATGATAGTCAGAAGTATGAGAGCTCGGGGTAGGGATGTGTGGTAACAAAACCAATATCTCCCAATGACTAAGTGCTGTGCGAAAACAATCCTGGACAAGAACCTAAAGAGGGAGAAAATACTGATCCTCTCAGTCATCCATGCCGTAATAAGGCGCTGGTGTCTTGTGTGACAAAAGGGATGTAAAAACACTAGCAAAGCAGAATCAAATTTGCTTGGGTCCCTGGACACTAGGGGCATGAGAAAGCTGACATACTGGCCAGGAGGGGTGCAGAAGATCAGCTTACAGGCCATACTGTGATACCCCAATTAGTTCTGGAGAAGCCAAAGTCTGAGACTGGGATAAAGGTCCGGAAGGCAGAGGCCTGGGGACCAACCCAGGACTAAGGACTTCAAAAACACTTATAGACCCATCAATGAAAGACTGGAAAGGCTTACTGAGCCTAAAAAAGGGAGACATCAGATTACTAGTAGTGATGTTAGCTGGGAATGGACCTATTAGGAAACACCTTACAACCATAGGGAGGTCACAGACAGACCAATGCTGGTTCTGGGAAAACAAGGGGGGAACCTCTGAACCCTTATGGCTAGACTATCCGGCTCTGGCCCAAAAAAGGTTGAAATCTCTGGGAAGGCTGAAGAGATGAGGAAGTTGGGCGTCTCACAGCTCCTAGGCTATGCCAAAATCCTATGGCTGTCAGGCTGAGTTGAGGGGTGCTGCAATAGGTCAAAAGGCCAAAGAAGCTAGGGGTAGGATTACCCCAACCGCCCCCCTCCATACACAAAAAAGAAACAGATGTAGAACAGAAATCGCTTGAAATAATAGTTTGCCCCTGTTTAACAAACTAAGGTGGAAAACGTGGAAAGGTGGTAAACTCACAAAAATTTACCAACAAATATGTCTAGATCTACATACCAGGTTAACACAAGAAATTAGTACTATTTAAGTATTATTATAACAAATTTATTTGATAAATTTAATCCTATGAGGATGAAATCTAAGCCTCTTGGGAACTCTTTTGGAGCTTGAAAATAAGCTGCAACACCCAACTAATAACATGTCTTGTATAGTACTGTATAACAAATAAAATAAAACTCACAACACCTGTATCACTCATAGTGTTTGTACAGTTAGAAACATAAAGTAATCACATTATTTACAATACACTTGTCTAGTTCAAAGATGGCTTGCAGAGCTGGTAAAGTCATACTGTGGCATCTCCAGGGGGGCCAGCTCAGGCAGTTCTGGGGGGGAGTCATCCTCATACGCTCGCAACCTCGCCTTCAGTGCTTCCACCTACAGACAAAACATCTGGGGATGAACACTGAACAGGTCCTCAAGTTTTGGGAAAATATATTCCCAATCTTTGGGTACAATTACATTTAATATAAGAATTTGTTTGAAACAAGATCTTTTCCTACTGTCAGCGAATTTGCCGAGATTGAGAGTGATGATGTTAATGTCTTCTCAACCGCAAGTGACGATTATGCTATGTCCCACTAGAGATAATAAGTATTTTGTTGCTAGTGGTATGAATAGAAAGCGGTGATGTCCCTGCAACCAGGGTTATATCAACAAGTCCTTAAATTATATTAAATAAGACATAAGAAGATGCATAACTCATTTTATACAATCATTATTTTCACTGAATGAAAATATAAACATAAACATTGCAGAAAAATAACATGAATCATGTGGTGTTGAGAAATCATATGGTGTGACAACTCCTTATTAGGTTACATTTAAGATTTCACCACAATTGTGAGGGACAATGATGTCTCTGTGATTGTGAGAGACATTCACAGTTTTCCGGCATTGTGGGAAATGTGCTGTCCTCATTAATGCAAAAGATGTAGATGAATTCAATGTGATTTTGGGAGATGGGAGATAATAATGATAGTGCCATGATCACGGGTTAAAATGGTCGCACATATCAGTGTACAATAAAGACTAGAAATTAATTTATTTTGTTTAATCAAAGTGGTTTGAATACCTGTAATGTTGATAATACAAATGGGTCCGTTACAACTAGTTTTGGCTCACAATGGAGCCATCATCACGTTATTTTAAGACAATGACGCCTCTTCTAAAGGTCTTTACTGATAAGGCGCACAGACCATAGTGACCGGCAGTCTAGACAAAAATCCCGCCAATCGCGTTGTTAAAGCTAGGCCTAGTCATGCGTGTTGTGTGTTCTTCAACCTTCAGAAGAAGCAAGAAGATTATGGCTCCATTGCAGGGGCGTCGCCGGGAGGGGGGGGGGGGGTTAGAATCTGGGAAAGAGAAAAGTTGAGAATTTCCTTGCCACAAGTTGGGACAGTTGGGAAGTCAGAGATTCAAGAAAAATATATTTTTGAACTAAATAAAATTTAAATATTTGCGAAAATCCAGCAAAGATTGAAATTTTTTTACTTGGACAGATAAACTTGACGGTTCTGCAACTTTATTTAACTTCATTGAACATCTTAGGCTAATCACACCTTATTTTAAGAAATCAATAATCAATTAGTGATAAAATTTGTTGGAATTTCGTTTGGGAGAAATTTTGTTCCTTATTGGCGCTACCCTGATCCTGTCCTGTGTTGATTTATCAATTATCAATTATCAATAATTGAGATGGGGACGCCACCTAGGTGCGTATTTTAACCCAAATATGAATGAAGGATGAGTGTAGAATGGATTCATCTGCGAGAATGTAAGTTAAAAGTGCAAGCGATGATGTAGCTCTAACAGTCTTCAGTTGCATTATGTTGATTGTTAGTGTTTAAAAGAAATTTTACACGTAAGTCACATTAACTATATTTTATGCCTTTTTTGTCGTATTTAGAGCAGGCTAACTGACAGGAGTACTTGCTAATCTATAATATTAAAACGAAACAGTGTTTTTTTATTTCACGATTCTAAATCAACCACTCGACGGATTTTCATGATTATTGTGTTGAAAGAAAGATAATTTTGAGAACTAGGGAATGTCGAAGCCATAATTTTAGTTTAGGGTCCCAGTTTTTTTGAAATTAAGTTTTAATCTTTAAAAAGTCTAGCAGCCGACGCTAAGATTCTAAACTAGCTTTTGGCATAAAATAATTTGCTTAACATAACAGCTGTAAACATTCAGCTTTTGTGTCACAAATTCAGCATTTGGATAAAATGTAAAGACATACTTAGGGTTGACTTATTTATACTATGTGTAATGCTAATCATTGATACGTTCAATTCTTCTGTAAGAGGATGACAGATTAATTAAATATACATAGTAAAATACTATGATGTTCAAATTATTTTTTAAAGCAATCTTTGTTATCTTCGATTTGTTTTAGAGCAATATAATTTGTTTTAACTAACAGCTGGTTAAATATAAACTATGGAACTATGAGGTTATTTTATTTATTCTTATTTTGTCATTGATTATAGGAAATAAGTAAGATTAGTAGAGATAATTAGACGACAGTTTAAAATAGTTTAGACCAAAACTAAATAAACCACAGTAAAAATCGAGGCTCTGTACACGAGTCAAAGGATAAATGAAATTTATTTTACTGCTCCACTTTTCAAGGAAAGAATAGAAAAATAACAATGTTTACATGTTTTAATTCTTCCATGGTAGCTTTTTGTTTACAATTAATGTTTGTCTGCTTTAACTTTGTTTGGATTAGGCCCGGAAATATTGATGTGATAAAAAGAAGATCAAGAATAATCAGGAATCACGATTCTAAATTACCACCACAACCTCAGCCGGGTTTTATACAAAGATAAACAGATGGATGACATAGATTGAACACAACGTCAACATTGACCTAGGATACTGCAATTAATTAGACAAACCATCCTTTTATGAAATCGTGTTCAGTTGTGGTTACGTTTGGGGGTGCCTATATGAGCGCCCCCAAACGTGAAAATATCACTTTTATTTCAACTATGAATATATTGTAGTTTAAATTAACTAATATGGGAAATTACGATGTACATTTATTCAATGAGGGTGGGTAATTATCAAGGATAGAACTGATAACGGTATGGATAATAAACATTGACAATTACGTCATTAGCTTTACTAGCGTGTTTACTTTTTATATTCCTGCTACATGCGACCAGTTCTTTTTTTCAAATGAATGTTATTTGAACCAAACAGCTGTTTCAAAACAAACTGTTATTGTTTTTACTTTTCTTTGTTTACACTTATTTATTTAGCAATTAATGCACTGAAATTTATAATAAAGGATAGGTGTGACGATTAGTTTTGATGTTAGGACACCAAAGTTAAATTATGTGTACTGTGAATTTGATTGGATATTATCGTTTTATTTTAGGTCGTTTCTATTCAGACCTACTGGAAATTGTGTATAGTAGTTGTATTGTGGTGATAATAATTATGGAAGAGGCAGGTATGCTATGGAAGGTGGTATCGTTGACTAGGTCTATACACTTCTCAATTGACTATTACTCTCTCTACTGTAGTAGGCTACTTATAATCAGTGTGCGTCTGTGCGAATCAAATGCGATAATTTTAGTTTTATTGTAAAATTATCGGATTTAAAATGCATATCGTATAGGCCTATGATGGAATAAAAACATATTTGGTCACACAACTTTTGTTTACAAGATGATTTTTCACATTAAAACTGCAAGAAACTTTGTCTTTATATGTGTAAACTAGCTGATCTGAATTGTACACGGTTTAAACTGACTACTGAATTCCCGTACGTAGGACGGGCTAACACCTCGTAGTATATTAAAATAACATTAAAGATAGGTTTTGTGTATCGGTATTACCTTTGAAACTCTTATTTTTTTACAACTTAAATGAAATGTTAATTCTCTGAATATATTTTAAAAATCTACAAAAGTCAATTATCATTCCTAATTAAGGATTTACACAAATGAATCAACTAATCACCCTGAAACAGATCGGCATGGAAAACATAACCTAAAATTTTATGTTTGAGTTTGACATCTAAGTTTGATTTTTGTTTCCTGCTAATTTGTACTAGGCTTATTTTATATACCTAAATTTTTGCACTGCTACGTCTGCTACCAAAATTGTTCAAGGTTTATTGGATTTGAAACAATATTTATTCAAGTTTTTTTTTATGTTTATTACTAATTGTTAGAACTTTTAGAAATTTTTTGAATTGAGTAATTTTATATATGTTTTGTTAATACAAGTTAATAAATACTGCACTGAGTGTGACTGCAGTATAGTATGATAATTTGCAGACATTTTAAATAGTAAAGAAATCGATTTCTTCAAATAAAAAAATGTTGGGAATTCTATGTTAAGTAGTTGGGAAAGTTGAGGATTCTGCCCCCCCTCCCTAGAATTTTACCAAGCAACACCACTGCTCCATTGTGAGCCGAAACTAGTTGTAACACAACCATTTGGATTGTCAACATTACAGGTATTCAAACCATTTTAATTGTATCTTGCTAATTCAGAGGCCACCCGTTCAAAAAATGATTTTGTTTGTTATTAATATACTTAGGTTTGTTATACTCTGAGGTAAAACACTAGACATAAGTACCTAATTAAGCCCACTAGCCATAGATTATCACTATTTGAAGCATCACCTCAATATATTGGACCAAAATTGAATAACTTGATTCCTTCCTGATAATTTAAAAAAACATCGCAAATCCAAAAAAGTTCAAACAAAAACGTAAGGACTGGTTACTGACAAAAACATTTTATTCTTTAAATTAATTTTTAAGTGGAAATAGGGAGGGTTAAGTGTTGAACGAAGTTGAAAAAGCCCTTCCTGTTTCCAACCTGAACATTAGGAAAATATAGGCCTAGTATACTCGTTGAAAGGTATGACGTGGACACCAGACTAGTCTATTAAAGCAGGTGAGTTGATCGACTGTACTGCACAAGCAGTACCACACATATTTTTGTTTCTCAAAATTGTAATTTTTAGAACAAAAAATATGATTTTGTTTTCTTACAATTTCAGTGGCCTACGCCACTGGATACAATGTCTGTTGAATCTTACCTCTCAGATGCCACCAGTTGAGCTAATATTTGGGAGATTAAGGCCCAAAGTTGTGTGTTGAGGGTATAATTAATTGCAGATACAATGGCTTTTGAACCTCACCTTTCTCTAAGATGCCTCCAGTTGAGCCAGTAGCTGGGAGATGAAGGCTCGTAGTTTGTGTGTTGAGGGTACGGTTAACTGCAGATACAATGGCTGTTGAACCTCACCTGTCTCTCAGATGCCTCCAGTTGAGCCAGTAGTTTGGAGATGAAGGCTAGCAGTTGTGTGTTGAGGGTACGGTTAACTGCAGATACAATGGCTTTTGAACCTCACCTTTCTCTAAGATGCCTCCAGTTGAGCCAGTAGCTGGGAGATGAAGGCTCGTAGTTTGTGTGTTGAGGGTACGGTTAACTGCAGATACAATGGCTGCCTCACCTGTCTCTCAGATGCCTCCAGTTGAGCTAGTAGTTTGGAGATGAAGGCTAGCAGTTGTGTGTTGAGGGTACGGTTAACTGCAGATACAATGGCTGCCTCACCTGTCTCTCAGATGCCTCCAGTTGAGCTAGTAGTTTGGAGATGAAGGCTAGCAGTTGTGTGTTGAGGGTACGGTTAACTGCAGATACAATGGCTGCCTCACCTGTCTCTCAGATGCCTCCAGTTGAGCTAGTAGTTTGGAGATGAAGGCTAGCAGTTGTATGTTGAGGGTACGATTAACTGCAGATACAATGGCTGTTGAACCTCACCTGTCTCTCAGATGCCTCCAGTTGAGCTAGTAGTTTGGAGATGAAGGCTAGCAGTTGTGTGTTGAGGGCATGAATAACTGCAGATACAATGGCTGTTGAACCTCACCTGTCTCTCAGATGCCTCCAGTTGAGCTAGTAGTTTGGAGATGAAGGCTAGCAGTTGTATGTTGAGGGTATGATTAACTGCAGATACAATGGCTGTTGAACCTCACCTGTCTCTCAGATGCCTCCAGTTGAGCTAGTAGTTTGGAGATGAAGGCTAGCAGTTGTGTGTTGAGGGCATGATTAACTGCAGATACAATGGCTGTTGAACCTCACCTGTCTCTCAGATGCCTCCAGTTGAGCTAGTAGTTTGGAGATGAAGGCTAGCAGTTGTATGTTGAGGGTATGATTAACTGCAGATACAATGGCTGTTGAACCTCACCTGTCTCTCAGATGCCTCCAGTTGAGCTAGTAGTTTGGAAATGAAGGCTAGCGGTTGTGTGTTGAGGGTACGGTTAACTGCAGATACAATGGCTGTTGAACCTCACCTGTCTCTCAGATGCCTCCAGTTGAGCTAGTAGTTTGGAAAAGAAAGCTAGCAGTTGTATGTTGAGGGTACGGTTAACTGCAGATACAATGGCTGTTGAACCTCACCTGTCTCTCAGATGCCTCCAGTTGAGCTAGTAGTTTGGAAAAGAAAGCTAGCAGTTGTATGTTGAAGGTACGGTTAACTGCAGATACAATGGCTGTTGAACCTCACCTGTCTCTCAGATGCCTCCAGTTGAGCTAGTAGTTTGGAAAAGAAAGCTAGCAGTTGTATGTTGAGGGTACGGTTAACTGCAGATACAATGGCTGTTGAACCTCACCTGTCTCTCAGATGCCTCCAGTTGAGCTAGTAGTTTGGAAAAGAAAGCTAGCAGTTGTATGTTGAGGGTACGGTTAACTGCAGATACAATGGCTGTTGAACCTCACCTGTCTCTCAGATGCCTCCAGTTGAGCTAGTAGTTTGGAAAAGAAAGCTAGCAGTTGTATGTTGAGGGTACGGTTAACTGCAGATACAATGGCTGTTGAACCTCACCTGTCTCTCAGATGCCCCCAGTTGAGCTAGTAGTTTGGAAAAGAAAGCTAGCAGTTGTATGTTGAGGGTACGGTTAACTGCAGATACAATGGCTGTTGAACCTCACCTGTCTCTCAGATGCCTCCAGTTGAGCTAGTAGTTTGGAAAAGAAAGCTAGCAGTTGTATGTTGAGGGTACGGTTAACTGCAGATACAATGGCTGTTGAACCTCACCTGTCTCTCAGATGCCTCCAGTTGAGCTAGTAGTTTGGAAAAGAAAGCTAGCAGTTGTATGTTGAGGGTACGATTAACTGCAGATACAATGGCTGTTGAACCTCACCTGTCTCTCAGATGCCTCCAGTTGAGCTAGTAGTTTGGAAAAGAAAGCTAGCAGTTGTATGTTGAGGGTATGATTAACTGCAGATACAATGGCTGTTGAACCTCACCTGTCTCTCAGATGCCTCCAGTTGAGCTAGTAGTTTGGAGATGAAGGCTAGCAGTTGTGTGTTGAGGGCATGATTAACTGCAGATACAATGGCTGTTGAACCTCACCTGTCTCTCAGATGCCTCCAGTTGAGCTAGTAGTTTGGAAAAGAAAGCTAGCAGTTGTATGTTGAGGGTATGATTAACTGCAGATACAATGGCTGTTGAACCTCACCTGTCCCTCAGATGCCTCCAGTTGAGCTAGTAGTTTGGAAAAGAAAGCTAGCAGTTGTATGTTGAGGGTACGGTTAACTGCAGATACAATGGCTGTTGAGCCTCACCTGTCTCTCAGATGCCTCCAGTTGAGCTAGTAGTTTGGAAAAGAAAGCTAGCAGTTGTATGTTGAGGGTACGGTTAACTGCAGATACAATGGCTGTTGAACCTCACCTGTCTCTCAGATGCCTCCAGTTGAGCTAGTAGTTTGGAAAAGAAAGCTAGCAGTTGTATGTTGAGGGTACGGTTAACTGCAGATACAATGGCTGTTGAACCTCACCTGTCTCTCAGATGCCTCCAGTTGAGCTAGTAGTTTGGAAAAGAAAGCTAGCAGTTGTATGTTGAGGGTACGATTAACTGCAGATACAATGGCTGTTGAACCTCACCTGTCTCTCAGATGCCTCCAGTTGAGCTAGTAGTTTGGAAAAGAAAGCTAGCAGTTGTATGTTGAGGGTATGATTAACTGCAGATACAATGGCTGTTGAACCTCACCTGTCTCTCAGATGCCTCCAGTTGAGCTAGTAGTTTGGAGATGAAGGCTAGCAGTTGTGTGTTGAGGGCATGATTAACTGCAGATACAATGGCTGTTGAACCTCACCTGTCTCTCAGATGCCTCCAGTTGAGCTAGTAGTTTGGAAAAGAAAGCTAGCAGTTGTATGTTGAGGGTACGGTTAACTGCAGATACAATGGCTGTTGAACCTCACCTGTCTCTCAGATGCCTCCAGTTGAGCTAGTAGTTTGGAAAAGAAAGCTAGCAGTTGTATGTTGAGGGTACGGTTAACTGCAGATACAATGGCTGTCGAACCTCACCTGTCTCTCAGATGCCTCCAGTTGAGCTAGTAGTTTGGAAAAGAAAGCTAGCAGTTGCATGTTGAGGGTATGATTAACTGCAGATACAATGGCTGTTGAACCTCACCTGTCTCTCAGATGCCTCCAGTTGAGCTAGTAGTTTGGAAAAGAAAGCTAGCAGTTGTATGTTGAGGGTACGGTTAACTGCAGATACAATGGCTGTTGAACCTCACCTGTCTCTCAGATGCCTCCAGTTGAGCTAGTAGTTTGGAAAAGAAAGCTAGCAGTTGTATGTTGAGGGTACGGTTAACTGCAGATACAATGGCTGTTGAACCTCACCTGTCTCTCAGATGCCTCCAGTTGAGCTAGTAGTTTGGAAAAGAAAGCTAGCAGTTGTATGTTGAGGGTACGGTTAACTGCAGATACAATGGCTGTTGAACCTCACCTGTCTCTCAGATGCCTCCAGTTGAGCTAGTAGTTTGGAAAAGAAAGCTAGCAGTTGTATGTTGAGGGTACGGTTAACTGCAGATACAATGGCTGTTGAACCTCACCTGTCTCTCAGATGCCTCCAGTTGAGCTAGTAGTTTGGAAAAGAAAGCTAGCAGTTGTATGTTGAGGGTACGATTAACTGCAGATACAATGGCTGTTGAACCTCACCTGTCTCTCAGATGCCTCCAGTTGAGCTAGTAGTTTGGAAAAGAAAGCTAGCAGTTGTATGTTGAGGGTATGATTAACTGCAGATACAATGGCTGTTGAACCTCACCTGTCTCTCAGATGCCTCCAGTTGAGCTAGTAGTTTGGAAAAGAAAGCTAGCAGTTGTATGTTGAGGGTATGATTAACTGCAGATACAATGGCTGTTGAACCTCACCTGTCTCTCAGATGCCTCCAGTTGAGCTAGTAGTTTGGAAAAGAAAGCTAGCAGTTGTATGTTGAGGGTACGGTTAACTGCAGATACAATGGCTGTTGAACCTCACCTGTCTCTCAGATGCCTCCAGTTGAGCTAGTAGTTTGGAAAAGAAAGCTAGCAGTTGTATGTTGAGGGTATGATTAACTGCAGATACAATGGCTGTTGAACCTCACCTGTCTCTCAGATGCCTCCAGTTGAGCTAGTAGTTGGGAGATAAAGGCTCGTAGTTGTGTGTTGAGGGTATGAAGCTCCTCAATCACTGTGCGATCATCCTTGGGTCGCTTTTGTCCTGGAGATGTGGACAGTTCGTCACCTGCGCCTGACTCCTTGGGTAGTAACATGCCTAGCAGAGAATCTGCCTCCTCCATTGTCCTGCAATTATATGTCATGTCATGGAACAGTGACTGTGATAGGAATTACCAGTGATGAAATAACCTTAGATGACACGAGCTTCAGTGTTTATTTCAACAACATACACAGGATTTAATAGCCTAAGTATATAATGTAAGAATAGCTTTATTCAGCATTGCCTCTAGGATTGATTTATGACAAATAAAATAGGTTGACATACCATATGTCGTCAATACTACTGTAGTCTCAGGCGACTAGTTGCGAAACAACTGTTGTTTCATCTTCAAGCCTGTGTCGTCATACATAAGATTATTTCAACACAATGCCGTTGTCAATGTACAAAAATTTAACATTTTTAAATACATTGAATTAACATAAAATAGTGCGCGTCCGGCCATAACACGCACGATGACCTCGACAGACACAATTTAGCTACCCGACACCTGTCTGGAGACATTTACCTTTGAGGGGATGAAACAGCTGATGAGGGGGTAGCGGATTTTTATCCCTCTGGAATTTTACCCCCTGGGCAAACGTGACGTCACAAACCAGGGGGTAATATTCCGGTGACGAACTTTTGAGTTTCGCGACATCAGTTCGATGGATTTATCGCGGAATTAAACATATATTTTCACTGTTGCGAATTTAATCAGAACACATCAAATTATAAAAACCTAGAGTGTACGGGCCGGATTTTTACCCTGGATTTTTACCCCCGGAATTTTACCCCCTGGCCAGATATATAAATTAGTGAGAATGGTTAAATCTCTTCATTCTGTTTTAATTTAATAGTACACATTTTATTGTTAAGTAGCCTATATTAATTTATTTGTAACATCAACTAATCGAACAGGTTATTAATTTTAATTTTGAGATTCGAGTATCAGGATTTGATCATTGAAACCAACTGTTGGTTAATATGATCAAAATTAAACAGCAAATTCTGTTTACTTGGTTTAGATTACAAAATAAATAAATAAAGATAGGCTACTTAATAATAAAATGTTTACAATTAAATAAAAATAGAAATAAGAAAATCAATCATTCTTAATAATTTCTAAATCCGGCCAGGGGGTAAAATTAAGGGGGGTAAAAATCCGGGGGTAAAAATCCGGCACGTACATCTTCAGTTGTCTAAACACTAGTTATATGGACAGGGGGTAAAATTCCGGTTTTTATTGCTAGTCTAATTACTCGTGCTCTGTCTATTTTCATTAGACTTCCAAATCCGCGGGGGTAAAATTCCGCCCGCGAACAAACTTTTGAGCGCTCAGGTTACTATGTCATAGTGACGTCAGCTTTGCCCAGGGGGTAAAATTCCAGGGTGATAAAATTCCGGCGACCCATGACGAAGTGCCTTTGTTATCAATGTCCTTGATCCTGTCAAATACTATATTAAGGCCAAAATTTAACTTTTCATTTAAAACGTCATGATTTCTTAGCTTTCTAGGACATTCATGATGGAGCCTTTAGTGCATTTGTGTGAAATATCCATGCTATCATCACTACAGCTGCTGTTGACATTGTGGTTTTCATTAATCAGGTGTTCAGCAAATTTAGAGTGATGTGTTTTCAATTTAGGCTTAGGGAGGTGTTCATTAGACATTTTCTTGAAAGAACAACCTGTTTGTCCGATATATATTTTTGGACAATCACTGCAGGATAATTTGGACATTCCTGTGTCCTCTAGGCTATTGGATACTCTAGATTTTGATGTGCATGGATTTAGGTGGCTTTCTAATTTATTTGAGGTTCTGTAGGCCAATGTTACATTGTGTTTCCTTAGTTTGACTATAATATAATTGTATAATTACCTCGTCACAGCTCCTTAGTTTCCGTGTATATTACGGCCGTTTCGGCATCAAAATGCCATCCTCAGATACATACATCCACCGGATTTGGCGTCGTCAAACTTGAAACACACACGTAACACGGTAACAAACATTTAAAACATAAAAAACGAAAGACAGGCCTGTCGCGCACATGATGAGTACGTGTACGGAAGCTGACTGGACAACTGCTAGTTCGTTCCAGCCGTTACGGTATTATCTCTTGGACTTTGATCCCTTGGCTTGCTTCGTTTGATGATGTTATTAAAAATGGTGTGAGATTTAAATTGTAGTTGGTCATTTAGTATGGATTCATTGTTGTTTTTTATTTTATGGGCTTTATAAATCTCATATTCCTCAAGGGTGTCTAGTCTATTTCCATTAATACAGGCGTGCAGAATTTCTAAGCCATTGTCCAAATCAAGTAAGTCGTGATTATTGTCAACCAGGTGTTGTGCGAAAGTGGATTTTTGTTTGTCAGTTTTTCCGTTAGGGCGATGTTCTTTGTACCTAATGCTAAAGGAACGTCCTGTTTTTCCAATGTACGTACTCGGACAACTAGCGCATTTTATTTTATATACACCTGATTGGTCAGCTTTATTTTTATTAATCTTAGGTTTTAACTTATTTATAACTTTATTGCTGGTTCTGAAAGCTAGTTTAATTCCATGCTTTTTCAACTCATTCTTTAGGCAGTGTTGCAGGGGATGAGAATAATTTACGCAGACGAATTTCTTGTTTTGCTGGGTTAGATTCTGATTTGGAGTTTGTTTATTTTTGTACTTCTTTACTAAGCTATCGACCATTTTAATGTCATACCCATTAGATAGAGCGATTTGCTTGATGATTTTGAGTTCTCTATTGTAGTTCTGTTCTGTCATTGGGACATTTAATAGGCGATATACCATGCTATTGTAGGCGGCTAGTTTATGTGATACGGGGTGGTAAGAAGTGCTGTGGATGGTTTGGTTTGACGTAGTAGGCTTTCTATATATGCTAAAATCTAATCTGTTATCAATCTTTTCTATTGTGATGTCCAGGAAATTTATTTTACTTGATTGCTCAGTTTCCATAGTAAACTTCAAATTAGGCGCTATATTGTTGAGGAATTTGTGCAAAAGGTCGAGCTGTCTTGTGTTACCCTTGAAAATAAGGATGGTATCATCAACATAACGGTGATATTCCATTATCTTGTTTTTCTGCTTGTTTAGGTCTGAGAATATATACTTATTTTCAATATGGTTCAGATATACGTTGGCAAGTAAACTTGATAAAGGAGAGCCCATTGCTAGGCCAGTTGGTTGATTGTAATATTTATCATTGAATTTGAAATAATTTTGTCTGAGTATTTCTTTTAACAAAGTTAGTAGTTCAGTAAACGCTTCAGGTAGTAAACTCGAATCTTTGTTGAGGTGGTCTTTGACTATGTCTAGAGTTTGGTCGACAGGGACATTAGTAAAGAAGTACAAAAATAAACAAACTCCAAATCAGAATCTAACCCAAGAAACAAGAAATTCATCTGCGTAAATTATTCTCATCCCCTGCAACACTGCCTAAAGAATGAGTTGAAAAAGCATGGAATTAAACTAGCTTTCAGAACCAGCAATAAAGTTATAAATAAGTTAAAACCTAAGATTAATAAAAATAAAGCTGACCAATCAGGTGTATATAAAATAAAATGCGCTAGTTGTCCGAGTACGTACATTGGAAAAACAGGACGTTCCTTTAGCATTAGGTACAAAGAACATCGCCCTAACGGAAAAACTGACAAACAAAAATCCACTTTCGCACAACACCTGGTTGACAATAATCACGACTTACTTGATTTGGACAATGGCTTAGAAATTCTGCACGCCTGTATTAATGGAAATAGACTAGACACCCTTGAGGAATATGAGATTTATAAAGCCCATAAAATAAAAAACAACAATGAATCCATACTAAATGACCAACTACAATTTAAATCTCACACCATTTTTAATAACATCATCAAACGAAGCAAGCCAAGGGATCAAAGTCCAAGAGATAATACCGTAACGGCTGGAACGAACTAGCAGTTGTCCAGTCAGCTTCCGTACACGTACTCATCATGTGCGCGACAGGCCTGTCTTTCGTTTTTTTATGTTTTAAATGTTTGTTACCGTACCGTGTTACGTGTGTGTTTCAAGTTTGACGACGCCAAATCCGGTGGATGTATGTATCTGAGGATGGCATTTTGATGCCGAAACGGCCGTAATATATACGGAAACTACGGAGCTGTGACGAGGTAACTATACAATTATATTATAGTCATCAATTCAGCTCAGGGGCTAAACCATGTCTATCGATCCTTAGTTTGTTTTTTAAGGTGCAATGTAATCAGCTGCCAAGTTCTATGGAGACAAAGTTTTGATTAGTTTTTTGTATTTTCCTATTTTGTTGTTGTTTATGAATGATATCGTTGATGATTGTATAATTATCGATAATTACACAATCATCATATAAAAGACGACAAAGGCCTGAAGATGAAACAACAGATGTTTCGAAACTAGTCGCCTGAGACCATAGTAGGATTGACGATGTATGGTATGTAAACCTATTTTATTTGTAAGAATATAGCTATTAAATAAAAAATACCAGGTGTCTTACAAAGAGGTTGCTACTGTTCTTAAATTAATATTATCATTATCAATTCAGAGAACACCTCCTAGGTGCATATTTTAACCCTTAACCCATTGGCCTTGTACCACGGAACAGTTCCCTGATGAGTAAAATGCCACTTAAATTAGTAATTTTGTCTTGGTGTACCACCCAAATATTCTTATAAAACAATGTATAAATACATAAATGAAAGCGATAGCTAAGGTTCAGTGTACAAATTAGGCCTACAGTTAATTACATTTTATAAGCTTGTACTCTTTGGCCGTATTACAAGTTCTTGTTTATACAGTAGACGCCTTCTTATCCAGACTCCTGTCTTATTTGGGTTTTCCGGTTAAACCAACGTTCCTAAAAACTCGTTAAAACGGACCATTTAAATGCATACTGTATATTTGACTTAAATTTAGGAGAGCATTGTATTTAGACACGTAATCACTGGTCTCAAATCTTTCCCACGAGAACAATTGTTTCACTACCGCCCACTTCCTGCTGATCTAGTCCAGTTAAACAGATGTGCTGAAAAAAATAGTTCGGTTAAAGAGATGTCATTTC